GACCGGCAACGGATCGCAACCCTCAGTGTTGCGCCTGCGCCATGCTCAGCCAGTGAGCGGGAACCGGTCACCACATGGGATCCGAACCCTCGGCGGGAGCGCCGCTGCGCTCCCAAGCGGTGCACTCTCCAGTGCGCCACCAGGCCGGCCCTCCAGTGGTTTATGAACAAACTTCCTCAGGTAGACCTTTCTAGTTTCTTTACTTTTTTCTTGTTCAATTTTTGATGTCAGTTGCTAATAGTGTATATTAATATAAATCCAATTCTCTTCTGAATTATCTAACACTAATGGAATTCAAGGTGACTTCCATTTAAAGACTTAGTTGGGTCCAAAGAGTTCAGCTCACAGATATTTTGAGATAGTCATAATTATATTAATAAATAAAATATAGCTGTCATTTATTGTCCGTTTATGTACCAAATAGTAAGCACTATTTTAAAGACATTTTATTATAGAAAACTTAAAACCTATATGAATGTAGAAAGAGCAGTATAATAATTACCCATTTCTCAGCTTCAACAGCTGTCAGCTTAAGGCCAATTTTGTTTCGTTATACCCTCACCACTGCTCTTCCTCTCCCTACACTGGATTGTTTTGGAGCAAATCCCAGACATTATATTATTTCATCTGTAAATATTTCATAAGGTAAGGATTCTTAGGCATTATATATTTTAAGTTATTTCTAATTTCTGGCTTTATTATTAAATTACAACATACAGACAGAAAAATATACAAATAAGTGTGCATTTTGATGAATTTTCACAAGTCGAACACACTGGTACAACCAACAAGAAACAGAACATTACCACAGAAGCCTCCCTCATGCTCACTTCCAGTTGTGCCCCACCTCTCAAGGGTAACTGCTGTCCTAACTTGCAACACTGTGGATTAGTTTTGTCTATTTCTGAACTTCATATGTATGGCATCATACAGTGTACTTTCTGAGTCTGGCTTCTTTCACTTATTGTTTTGTTTGAGAAATTTATCTACATTGTTACGTGAAGCTGTGTTCATTCTCAATGCTCTACCAGTAAAACCTGATTACATCAATGTAACACAATATTATTTTGATGCCAAAGAACTAGCTAATGTATGATTTCCCCTCCATTGTTTTTTTTTTTTTTTTTTCCTGTTATTGGTTACATCCTTGAGAAGTTTTGGTTTTGAATACTAAGCTCATAAACATTTTTAAATTGCTTGCTAAATCATAGACCAAAAGTATATTTTTAGAATGTAATTTTAGATTTCATTAAGCAGTAAATTCATTCATCATAAAATATCATGCATTGCCTGTTTTTAGAGAGAATACTGAATAGCTCATATCCTTTGCTTAGAAATAGACTTTTTTTTCCTTAAAGCAATTATCTTCTCAGTCCAATTTTCTCTTCTCTGGTATTCAATAGGACTTCAGTTCCAATGAGTTTATTTTACTATGCCGATCATGAAATTATCCCACAAGTTTTTTTCTTTCTGCCTCCAAGGCTTTGGAATTTTAAATGCATCCATATTTTTTTGGTCACAAACATATATATTCAGGGATAGCAAAGTCTATATGCTTTAACTCTCAGTGATTGCTGAGAACAGGCTACTGTGACTATTGAATCTAAGAGGCAGTTAAATGGTTAGGAATACCAATTTTGGGAACAAGACTCTCTGGTTCAAATTCCAGTTCTGCTACTTCCTAACTAGCATGTGACCTTGGCCAACTTATTTAATGTCTCTGTGCCTCAGTTTTCTTGCCTGTAAAATAGGGGACAATAATAACTATTTCATAAAATTATTGTAAGAATTAAGTAGGTTAATATATGTCAAGCCCATAGAACTCTGTCAGGCTTATAGTAAGTGTTGCATATATATTATTATTATCCTGAAATGTATTACTTTCCTTTGAAATTTAAACAAAATTCAAAATAATTAATTCATAATCTATGAATTTCTTTCTGCAACTTTTAATGTGTAGCTAATGATGACTCAACTCTTTCTTTCCAGAGAGCCTGGAAGCATTCTCTGTATGCTCTAAAGTTTTCTTTCTCTTTTCTTCAGTCATATGTTTCTTTGCTCATATAGACATTACTATTTATTGAACAATTATTATAGTGCTTGGATATTCAGCAAGGAGCAAACAGAAAAATTCTCTGTTACTTGGGAGCTTATATTCAAATCTCAGGACCAGGGATAACTGTTAATAGGGCATTTGTTTTGAAACCACCCACCCCCAAACATTGTCAACATAAAATTGTTTTGACCCTTTTCCTCTTCACTAGTATATTAAATAACTTATTAACTTTTTGATTTTAAAAAGCATAGTAATTTTTTTCAAATGAACAAGTTGGGAAAATTGGGTTTTAGAAATTGGTGTAAGGATAATGGGTCAACACTCTAATTTAATTCATTTGCCTTTTCCCCACCGCTAGCATTAATCTATCTTATTATTAAAAAGACTCATCCTAGGGCTGGCAGGTACTCACTTGGGAAAGCATGGTGCCAATAACACCAAGATCAAGGGTTCAGATCCCCGTTTGGCCAGTCACAAAAAAAAATAAATAAATAAATAAATAAAAAATACATTCTTGAAGTTTGGAAATTCAGCTTTAGTTGTAAGTTTATCAGAGGTTCTCAGAATGCTCGCACTTAAGACTGTGGGAAAGGATGCAGCTGAACAATAATATATTAACAATATGTGCTGAAAAATCAGTTCCCTGATGACTGTATACAAAACACAAATTTCTAATAGTTCCTAATGGCACTGCTTCCTCTGCAGATTATGTAGGAAATGGTTTAGTCTGAATAATCATTCAGGGGGAGGGGGAAGCCCTCAAAATAATTCACTTTGTAGAGTGTGCATGTGTGAGTGTGTGTGTGAAAGAGAGTCTGATTACTGTAGAATACTGAGTCAGTCATGCACCTATGCCTTGTATAATTAAAGAAAATAATTTGAAGGTAGCAACGGCATCTGATTCTATGAAATACTCTGTATGCTGTCGCTTGTCACCACTGTTTAAAAATAAACTAATAGCAATAATGAACAGCAAATCCATATGTTAAAGAAAACAATGGTGGGGGATGAGGTTTTCTTGAAACAAAATAAAACGAAACTGAAAACTCTAATTATATGGATAGTTGCAGAAGAAATAACTCTATCACCCTTTTGATGGAATTATTTTGGCCCATAAAGGCAAAGTGGCTTATTTCCCCTTGGTTATCTTGACATCTGCCTCTACACTCTTTTCTGCTTCATTTTGGATTGGAGACATCCATAAAGTGAACTCAGTAGGGGTGAAATGATACATTCCCAGAATTCTCTTTAGTGGTTTTCAACCTTGGTGTGTGTGTGTGGAGTGTGTGAATTTTTCAGACAATAATTTGAAATTACTGTTTCAATGATTTTGAAACATACTCCACCCTTTTGTAATTTTTTAAAAGTTCTCCCGGTGCTTCTGAATTATCCCATAACCCAATCGCACACTTTCCACCCCTATCAGAACCCACTTTTAGGGACTGTGAATAGATTAAGTTTTTAAAAGATCCATTAGTGTTCTAGAAGAGTCAATTTCACATGAGAGCTCTTTCATCTTAATAGAAGACTTTTTTTTTCTTTTTTAAATCAAGGCTGGCTCAGACCCAGAAAGACTGAGTCTGAACAAATGCAATTTGACGTGTGTACAAGAAGTAGTAAATAAAAGGAAGGGATGCATGCTGTCAGTGTGCTGAGATGTTTTCTAACGGGTTGAGGTGTGGGGGTCAGCTAATTTTGGAAGTGAGGATCATTTCTTTAAAAAGGACATGGACACACACACACACACACACACACACGCACACCTATGTAAAGAGGCAAGCTTTCCCAGAGGGACATTAGGGTTACTCAGCACATCAGCTACTTATTGCAAGTATGTAACTCTCAAAATATTAAATCCGTGCCTTTACATATCTCTTTGGTCCGGCTTCCATTTGCATGTCAAAAAGAGGGTATCTTTAAACTGATAGATTGATTTCAGGAAGGGGGTCAACCTTTACAATGGTGTTGGTGAGGTTTTTGTCAGGGAAATATTCTAGTTTGTTAATCAATAATGTTCTCTCTCAGTCTCTTTTTCTTTGTGTGTTTCTCCCTTCCTACTTACCAGTAGCTGAAAGAACCTTTACCAGTTCCCTTACTGTTAATTTAACATATGCAATTAGTAAAACAGTCCCAAGTACTAGTTAGTTAAACACATTTTTTATGAGTCTTAATCTTAGCAGATTATACTGTTTTATGATATAGAATGAAGCAAATAAAATGTCTCAAGACATTCTTCATGTTGGACTTCAGGATAGAAGTGACCCTTCTCTGGTTTTGGAGACTGGGAGGTTAATAATGAGGCAAGCCTGTCAACAACCAGAAGTGTCATAAGTCCTGGTTTTCCTGGAGTGTTCACCCTGTGTTACTTTGAATGAATAACCTGAGTGAGAATGCTAAGCTTTTCCTTCTTAACCTTACTCCTTTCAAAATCATAATGTTATAGACATTACTTTATGGTAGCCTTATTTTAATAACACTTGAGTACATAAGGCGGTCAAGTCTGATATGGCTGGGTGAGTGATCTAGCTATAAATGTAACACACCAATATCAAAAGCTGTATGGAAACGATCTCTTTCTGTGAATTTTCCCAACAGTTGTGATACACTTTTAAAAGCAGTTTTATTTCAGAACATTTATCTGAGAGAGCCTAATTGAGAAGAATATTGCATTGGTAAATTGCTGTGCCCAAGACAACTGCTGCTCTGTTTCTTTTCAGACTCTAAAACCTACGCCCCAAATCTCGGTCTGTAGTTAAGAGCTTCAAACAGTAATTACCTCTTTGAAATGAACAGAAGTCCTTAAAAGGGTCTGCCGGTTTTCCCGCAATCCCTTACAGGGTGAGCAGCGCTATATCCACTGATAACCCAGCTGCCTAGGAACTGAGTAAAGCCGGCTCCAAACTTCTCAGCTGTTGACAGGCTTGACTTGCTGAGAACACTGGTTAAATATAGCACGCGCGAGCTCAGCTCCTCAACAAAGTCATTGCTCTGACAGTGTTGTGAAGGGAGCAGAAGAGGAGAAACCTAATCTCAGAATCCAACAACACCTAGCAACAGATGAAAAAACTTTTAAACAAAAGTCTGGGTGGGAGATATACAACCACTTCCAATTTCTGCTGATCGGGATTTCAGAGAGAAGAAGCTGCTTTCCCCCTCTGTCAGTTTCCTGCATGACTTCAGCTATTGGCTAGTCTTAGGAAAGAAAGTGGGAAAAGCTTTTTCCTCTGTATTCTTTTGGGCTGGATAGTTTTCCAGGACTCGAGTCTGTTTTGGTCTGTGGGACAAGTCAGTGGGTTCTTCAAAGGATAAACTACCTCCATAAAGGACATACCCTTGGTTAGACGAGCTGCCGTCAGGTAAGACCAAAATAAATGCTGCTTACTGTCTTAAGAAATTTCTGTTTCCACAAGAGAGTTCTCTCCGATTTTGTTTTTCTGTTTCCTTTGATTCTTCCTGTTCTACTATGTGATAACACATTTAGGAATTATGATAATCATTGTGAATTATTTTTTAAAAATCAGAAACGTCATCTCTTTCTCCGAATTATACTGAGTACTTTTTAAACACAAGGAAATGAAGTTTTAATAGCCATGAACATATTTCTGCCAAGTTATCACTCTTTGGCAGGTAACAGAAATATGACAAAGGACAATTGCACAGTTTCTTTCACAATTAGGTGTGTTAAGCAATGGAAGAGATATTTTCCCTGGAAGCAAAATAAATAACTTTCTTTTATTGAAACTAGCTAAGCAGCTTGTGTGGTAAATGAGAGGAAAGTCCCGCATGGTGTTTGTATTGCTGTACTTTTGACTTGCTGCTTTACATGTCTCCTTTTGCTGGATTCTCTGATTACACTGGTACACCTTGTGCTGGTTCTGACCTCATTACACTATAGTCACCCCAAATGCTTCGGACTAGGCACAAAATATGTCTGATGTTAAATCACTCCTTTTGTAGCTGTTGAATATAACTATTAAGGGGAATGTTATTTGTGTTTTTAAAAAATAAATTGAGTAATCGCTTGTGTATAGATATAACAGATTCTGTTTTTAAAACTTAGACTGAATTTATTAGGAAAAAATCCTGTCTTAAGTTGCATGTACGTGTACATAGATGTATTTACTATAGTGTGAAGGAAATTTTCCTTTCATCTGATGGTATATTGTCTCCCCTTCCATGAGTTGCCATACAATTTTATCAGAATTGCTTACAATGATCAATTTCATATTGAATCTGACAAGTTAGGGGCTGTATATTGGTGATGTGGTTATTATTGACACCTGATGGTCTGTAGTTAGGCTGGATTTGCGTAAGAAGATCATTCCTTTAAATGAACAGGATTTTTTTTTTTTGGTGGCTGGCTGGTATGGGGGAACATGATAATTTGAATGAATATTTTGATCTAAGAACAATATCAAAGAAGATACAAAAGCACATTTTAAAAGAAATTATTTGAGTCTATTTTGTCAAGAAAGAATTTACCCAAGACCACTTTTGAACAAATTATTTGTTGACAAATAAAAAATGTAAAGCCAATTAAAGCACATATCTATATATGTTCAGGCTGAAAATGAAATAGCACACACATTTTGGAATGCATTATATTTCATAATTCTGACTACTTCATTAGTTTACAAAGGAAATGTGGTTAATCATCTATAATGAAAATATACAAATAGTAGTGCACAATGCACTCTGGTAACCTTGGTATTGGAGAAAACTCCTGGTGCTTTAGTGGAGATGAAATATCTTCGTCCTGAAAGGGTTTTGAAAAGTCAGAACTAAATGCTTTACATTTTTCTTGTTTTTACCGCAGGAAGGGTCACATTGCTGGCTAACAAATGCACATGTAACGCCAAAATATACCGTTAGTTCTAGGCATGTAATTTCTTTTGGAGTCATCGGGACAATGTGTAGATAACTGAGTACACCATTTGGCCTTGGGTGAAAACCATGTTTGCTGATGAAATGAATTTTTGAGTATCATTAATTGTCTTTATGCTTGTAAGTTTATTTGAGAATAAAGAACAGCTCAGGTTAAACCACATGGTTTCCTCCACTATGTGAACAATTCAGCTCTCCATGGCGATGCAGGTCTGTTCTCCTGTTCACTCAAGTTCACATTTCTGTGTCATTGTGGAACCCTCCCTTTCCACTTCACCCTAAGAGTTGTTAGACTCCACTGCCATGCCCCCCACACTGAGGCCTGCTCTCTTTGCCCTTAGTCTGGATTGTGACAATGTTGCTCCCCTTCCACTCCCTGTTGCCATCCAAATCATTTTGCCCATGACCACGGGATTAATTTTCCTTAAGCATTGCTATGCTCCTCTGTCAACTCTTCAGTTATCTTCTGGGACTCCTAGTTGCTGCCAAACACCTAGGCTGGGTATTTTGAAAACCTTCCGTCATCTGGCACCTACTTAACTTTTCCAGTCTCACTCCTACTACTCAACAACAAGGTCCCTCTGCTTCAGGTATTTCAGGTTATGGACCATCCTCCAAACACATACACAGTGAACATTTCAATGCCCCACCTTTGCCCACATTATTCCCCTTGCCTGGAATATATATCCTCCCTGCTAGTGTAGAGACCTTGTGTGCTCTTGAAGACTCAGATCAATGTCTTCTTTCACAATGATTTTCCAGACCACACATTTTAGAGGTGATTCCTTCTTAGTTTAGACAATTTGGTGCTCTGTTAGAATTAGGACACTTTGGAGTTTGGTTTGCCTCATTAAATTCAGAACAATTTTATGAAGTCTATTAGGTGCAAGGCAGCTTCTCAGCCCCATGCATATTGTGGATGTTCTTTTTTTTGGCAGCTGGCCACTATGGGGAATCTGAACCCGTGACCTTGGTATCACAAGGCTGGCTCTAACTAACTGAGGTAACTGGTCAACCCCACATTGTGGATGTTCGAATGAACAGTTGTGGCCCTAGATTTCCGATGATGAGTATATGAGAAATTATGGATAAGTATAAAATCAAGAAAAGCAACTATAAATATGATTAATAGCAAAACCTCAAAAACTTCTCCGGGGAAGTCTTCATAGTTTTACCATGCACAGAAAAATTACAAGTAATTATAACTACACTTATGTACCAATTGTGGAGATGGTGTTGTATATCTCAAGAATGGAATAGAAAGGGGGATATATCAAAAAGAGGAGATATATATCTCCTGTGTATGCACCTAGACCTCCAAATACTATAACTCATATACTTTTATCGTCTTTTGGTGCCAGATTCTATTTATAGTTACCTTTGGTACAATTCACTTAAAATATGGTTCCTTCTATTTGCAGGTCATGGATTAGAATCTGGCCTTGAACATTACAACATTTAAATATGTTATGATCCTTTTTCAGCTTTTTTTTCTAGATATTTAAAAAAGAGACATTTCTCAGTATTACCTTTAATCGCTCTCAAAACCTTTAGTCTTACTGTGTGAAGTAAAGTGTGAATCATGCTTTGAAGCAATTTGTTCTGTATCCACCAAAAGAAAAACATTCTCTTTAATTTTAAGACGGTCATAGACGTTAAACTTACTCTTCTAAATGGGTGTTCAACAAGAATCTCTATGGGAATTTTTCCAATAAACTTTGTGAAATATTTAGTACTTGCATATTCATTAAGCAATGGTTTCCTGTGGCTATAGTTTCACTTATTCTTTAGAATTGAAACTTTGGGGTTTTCATGTTCTAAATAATGCTAGTTTTGTTTTTCTTCTTTGGCAGATGTTCATTTCTTCATAGAACAGGTGCCTTAAAATATAAGATTTTATAGTTTGTTGAATCCACATTTTCACTCACTTATCTAATCTTATTTCTTTAAACTTGTGGGTTTTAGAAAAGACAGCAGCATGAGTAGTGAGGGGCGAGCTTGAAATCAATTTCAACAGAAAACTTTAATAGAAAAAAGATTGGCAACAACTTGTTAGAAAAATGACATCTAAAAGCCTGCAACAAGTTTGTTTATATATTAATTATCTTTAACATACATATAGCAAGAGAATGAAAGATAACATAATAAAAATGCATTTTGTTTCCTTAAATCTGAGTTGAGGATATAACAAGGATGTGTTCATGGAAGAGGAGGGAGGAAAGGATAGTGGATTTCAGCTCACTGTGACCTTGGGCAGATTACTCTCTGTGCCTCAGTTTCCTCATCTGTAAAATAGAAGATAATAATGCTATTTTTTCACAGAATTGTTTTGAAGATTAATTGAATTAATGCAATTTAAAGTTGCCTGGTAGTTTCTTCAATAAATTTAAGCTATTAGTGCTTTATTACCACACCTTAAATGTAGTTATTTATTTTAATCTTTGTTGCACACAAAAGTCTTGGATTCAGATAGTTTGTGAATTCAAATTCATAGATCACAGGAAAGGCAGAAGAATGTATTGTTTAAATTTGGAATCCTTCGGGGACATACTTTGCTGCTGGGTACTCTAAGCAGACATAGTTTGAATGGCAGCCAATAATTTAGTGTGGAATTTATGTTTCAAACCCTCCCTTATCACTCAGCAGTCTGCTGTCATATAGAACCATTACTAAAAAGACTAAGAAATCACCCACAGCATAGACTGTTCTATGGTTTCTATATTTGCACTTGGAGATAAAGTTTGTTTATATGTAGTGCTTGGGTATCTCTTTTACAGTTGACTACTCTTGGTAATGTATAGCAACAGAGACTTCCTCCTCTCTGGAGGGATATCTCGTTAAATTTGTCATTCTTTATTTCTTCCCTTAGATGACTTGTTTTGTTTTACTAACCTAGTAACAGATAAAAATGAAAAGACCAAAAAAGGTCATCTCATGCTAACTTTAACCTTATCAAATGGAAATGAATTCTTGCTATTCCTTGCCCTAATCCTATTTATTCTTTTCAAACATGGCAGGAATAGTACACTCCAAGACAAACAAAGTGTTATATTATAAAGATGTGTGTGTATATTCTGGGATGCTTAATATTCTGTATATTTAATTTAACAAAAATATATGAAGCACACTTATAAGCAGGGAAGTTTCTTAGTAGCCTTAGCAGCAACAAACCTTATGCAAGATAATTATGTATAGACCTGTCAATTTTACTTTTGTTTTTCCCAGTTGAAAGGATGAATTTCTCAAAGATCAGACAAACTGGGTTTTATTTTTTATTTTTATTTTTTCAAAAGATGACTGGTAAGGGGATCTTAACCCTTGACTTGGTGTTGTCAGCACCACGCTCACCCAGTGAGCTAACCAGCCATCCTTATATGGGATCCGAACCCATGGCCTTGATGTTATCAGCACCGCACTCTCCTGAGTGAGCCACAGGCCAGCCCGAGACAAACTGAGTTTTAAAACTGTCATT